TTTTTTCTTTTTTTTTTCATACACGTTGACCTCGCTGCAAAAATGTTGGTAGCGCAATGCGCTTCTTGAAAATATGAATTCATGAAACAAGTTGGAAAGGACTCTCAGTTCACCAAGAGGAAATTATCCAGAGACAAGAATTCCTCGCAAGGAATCCGTTCGATATACGCCGTGATTACTTCGTCGACGCCGTCAGACGCCGTTGACGGGAACTTGCCCGTCGAGCGACACCTGGCCGCCTTTGTACGTTTCGCACGCACGCATTCACGCACGCATGTCAACGCGAGAGCGGGAGGGAACGCATATGGTGCCGGTTGTTTCGCGAGCAAAACAATACGAGTATGTTCCGTCGTCTGCAGCTGTTGCAGCAGCGCAACAAATGTAGTCGGCGGTATGTAACGTGTTGGAGAAAGTGCATTCTCCATTCATCGGCCAGCAGAACCCGGCGTGACACCGAAGTGTGACGTCATCGGCGAACCGCTCTTGTCGCGGTCATCGGGGATGCGTCGCGATATCTCGCGATATACATCAGGATTCTTCTTATCGATAGCCCTTAGAACGGGAGGCATATTATGCCTTACATAATGCATAATGCATAATGCATAAGAAAATGAAGCAAAATCCTTCATTCTCTTCCTTTCCGTGAAAAAACTGATTGGTTAATTTTCTTAAGTCTTTTTCTTATGCCTATATATAGAATCCGTGCTCCTCTTATATAGGCTTTCTATAGTAAGCCATTACCTTTAAGTTTTAAGCCGTAAGAAATTAACCACTCATATAGTCAATTCTTTTTCTCACATGTGATTGTGATTGGTCGATTTTTTATCGACCAATTTTACGTCTCATGATTTAAAACTTAGACTTATTGTAGAAATTTCATAGTACCAGTCGGTTACTCACTTACTTTGAGTATTAAAAGTATCATTAACAGTATATTAAAAATGAATGATTAATTGATCAATATTAGTATTAAGTTTCTGTAAGGGTAGGAAACCTCTTATCGCATTCATCACGTAGGGTATCTATAATTAGCAATCTCGACTGCGGGGACTCTCGACTTCGGCTCCACTTCGCGGTGACTTCAGGTCACTTCAGGACCGATCAGTGGCCGAGATCGAGGCGATCTCACCTTGATCGCAGCGAATACAAAGGCGGATAACTGTACCCCCGATCTGTCTCGGGCTGACTCGCCCGACTTGACCTCCAATCGTGCACCTCCAACTGTGTGGACCGAAAAACCGTTGGCCGGCGAACGGAGAAAGTCGCGCAACACACTTTTCGGCGCGCGCGTGTTCCGACAGCGTGGGCAAGTTGGGCTTCACGTCGTGAACTCGCGTGAACTCGCGTGAACTGTTAAATGATTGTAGACGCGAAGAGGATGAGCCGGAGGCCAAGGCTGCCTATCGCAGTTGCATGACTTTAAAAGGTGAAAAAACGGCTCGTTTTGTGTTGGGCTACACTTGTCTTCCTGTTCGAAGACGTGCCGAGTACATCCACGACGCTTTCTCGCACTAGCGTGACTTTTCACAGTCATTATTGCAACCGACACATTATTTCCGTGCTGTCGCGAGGGATTATTGACCGACGTCGACAATTCTCTGCGGAGAGACAAGCAATTTTATAAATAGAACCTGAGATTAGACTCTCAACTGTGAAAGAATAAAGAGTTGACAAAGTTTGGTTTGTAAAGTGAATATGTAAACAAATTGGAAATTTCTTCAGAGAATTCGCGTGAAGCTGTAATGTACAAAACTATATTGTGTTAATTTTGAAAAAGGTGATTTTATTGTTAAATTTTTTAATCTGTTAATGTGTCTAAAGTACATGAATCTTATCACAAGTAAGATAAGATTTACTTCAGAGACCAAAATACTTCAAAAATCAAAACACACACACATACACACACACACACACATTTAATGTTTAAAATGAAATCAATTACAATAAGTAAATCTTATCAAATTATATTAAGAAATCTCACCTTAAGTTCTTTTGAAACATCTGAAAAACATTATTTGATATATTGACAATACAACCTGGTAATAGCTATCAAATATTGAGTGAAATAATTTCAAGCAATGTTTGGTTAATATATATTCAAAAATAATTTTACTTTTTTAAATATTTAGAAATTATTTATTTTTATTTAGTATTAATGTTACTAAACATAATAACATAATCAACCATTTGGTAATAATTGCTATTTAGAGAAACAAAATTATTTTTATTATATTATTATATCGCACTGGAAACAGTATGATTGCATTAATTGTATTTGAAAATGAACAAATCAAAATTTTCTGATAAATCTATTATGACTTTAGTTAAGTTTAATCAGATTTGACCGAAATTTCTTGATTTCTTCATTTTCAGTCAGAAACTTTTTTTGCGAATTGAATTCGTCTCTCAATATTTGTTGATAGTTATTATCAATAATTTTTTTCAATGGTGCGACAAAATATGTTGTCCAAAGTATGTTGCTCGAAATTTATATTATTTTTAATGATTGCCCGAAGAAACCTTGGAATTTTCATATAAAAAAGTAATTATTCTCCTTCTATGCCTTCTCCTTCTATTTGTTTCACTTTTACTTCGCGTTCGCGTGTAAAATTGGATCGTTTCGCGGGATTCTTCTAGTAACTAGTTCTCTCTTTCAAATCTAGAGGCGTATAATTTATGGGCAGCACCAACGGTCTGAGAAACCTCCGTCCCGATGACTCGGTAACCTTGTAATCGGCTGGTCCGTGTGAGTTTCTTAAAGGAATTTCACGGAAGGATCCTCCGTGCAGTCCCTCCCGTTAACGTTCTCCTTCAGCGAGTGTATTTCAGGTTCGCATGATTATTTCGCCTCTCAACGTCGCACGAAGGACTCAATATGCATGAAGAATAATAATCGATCCTGAAAATTCTCAGAATTATAAAAATATTCATGTCGAAATTAATATTTTCGGAGAAAAGTCTTTATCTCGATAAAATGTATATTTTGTAAAAAGGAAAAAAATTGTTATGGATGAATATATTGCTGAAACGGAAAGTGGCAACAGAAAAAAACTGAGGATCGGCAAAATATTTCAAGCTTGCGTCAAGGACCCCACACGACGCGATTTAGTCGCGTCTAAAAAAAAACGCGTTCGCTCACTCGTTAATTGGCGGAGACACGGTCTCGTTCTCTGACGCGATTAGCATCTCGCGTTTTAATTAGCTGCGGTCATGGCTTATCGGTTTAAGAGACGCTCAACACCGGCGAGTTATCTGCCGAAGAACTCTTCGTTACTTCTCAGTCAATGTATATCGTATTCGTAACGCCCGTAAAACGGGAAAGGCGGGCAGGAGATATTGCATTCAGCGAATAAACCACGCGTAATTGCGGCTTGCACTTTAGCCTGCATCGCCGTTAGATCGCTCGTCCGCTCGAGAACGGCGTTAAATTGACTAGCGGAAAGTGCCGCTTCGCGATTTCCTTTTCTGACAAGGCGAGTTTGCCGTATGCGGAAACGGAAATCTGGGATCATAAATCCTCGGAGATTTTCTCTCGACAATTGAAATCGAAGAATGACAGCGAACATAAAACTTAAATTAAATTTTAATAACAGTATTATATACACGAACTTGTATATATATATATATACTGAAAAAAAATATAGTCAATTTTAATAAATATTTAGTTGAATATTGCCAATTAAATGTTTATTAAATATAAAAATATTTATTTGATACAAGAAATGTTAATTTAATTTAACAATCTTTTTTTTCTGAATAAATATTTATTTACTGTAAGAAAATGTTTAGTTGGCAGTATTGAACTAAATTTATTAAAATTGACTATATTTTTTTTTAGTGTATATAAAAATTATGTATTATTGTTATATATAATTTATTTGATACTAAGATATATTTATATATTTACACAATTCGAGAGATAAAGTACTAATTTTTGTTAAAAACGCACAATTTATATATTTCTAGAAATAATAATTTTTAATACACATATATTATTTATGTAATTTTACATATTGTTTTTACAATAGATTTTCGATTTTTGCTGTGTGAATTTGAAATCCAAAATTACAAATTTTTAGAGAAATAAATTTATTTTTGCAAAAACATAAATTTACAATTTTCGAAAATAAATTAAATATACCTACATAAAGTTCTCAATTATTTGCATTCTCGAGTCCTAATTCATCTCTGCCCTTCGATTGAAATCGTCATTCAAATCATTGCCAAGCTCGTAAAAGAATCTCATTAACTGACCGCTGTGGTAATAATGGGACTCACTGCACGTCACCGTGTATGACCCAAAATGCAAATACTCCGCTTATCCTTGGTCAGTCAATGCGTCAAGTTGGAAATTGTTTACCTAACAATGGAATCGCCGTCGCCGATCATTCTATCGCACCGTACCGGGCCATAACTTACCGGTTCTCTGATGGTCGGGTCAGGTCCTTCCGGTCCTAGAGCCGGTCCGGTCTCGAACCCCCCTGCATCTGAACGAGCTAACGTGGACGTCTCTTTTTCTCAAGTCAGTTCAGTTCAGTCGAAACTCTCCTTCTTTCGCGCGCGAAGTAAGGCCGAAGACCGGCCGGCATTGTTCCTCGATTTTGTTCAGACGTTGGCGGTATTCATTCCTTCGATCTGTACGTCGTACTCGCATGCACGATGAATATCTATCTCGTCACGATCCGTATTGTGCGCAACGCGAGTCGTTTATCTTGAGAGGATATAGGAATTTAGATGATATAAAGAGACTCTGTAAAAGAATCTGTTATTCTATCTTCTCTTAATCGGATAAAACTTTAATTTCTTAATATTTAATTTATGTCTGTAAAATGTAAGTTCTATTCGTGATCTGATATTTTCGTGAAGAAAAGATCGAATTCAAACTGATCGGATTGTCATTAAGATTCGATCTCGTAATAATAATCTTTAACATGAGGAAAAATATTTTTCGTGATATTTCATTGAGAACTGGAGATTTATTTGTTGAAATTATTTTTCAGATGGAAACCGAGGTCCGGACGCTCAAGCAGGAATTGGCGCGAACTCAGGACGCCCTGAAAACCGCCACGAAAAAATGCCGAGAGCTGGTGAAGGAGTTGGACCATCGTATCGCCAATCATGAATCCGAGAAGATTTTGCGAGATCAACAGCTTTCGAGGATACTACGAGCACTGCTGTTCCTGGAAGCGCGCCTTAAGCAAGAGCAGAAGTCTATCAGGCAGATGCTCTGCGAAAAGGACAATGTTATCAGAAACCAGCAATTGGAGATCGCGTTGCTCAGGCGATATACAAAAAACTATATAAAGAGCAAACGCGATCGAACCACACTGGCCGTCGATGTCGAGGTCAACACCAATATCGATAAAAATCTGCAGAAGGACTTTGGCAATTTGCAAGTAATTTGAGAAAACCATGTAATAATTAGCATATAAGCCTATCTACGATCAGCAACTTCATGGAAAAAACGATTTTGCTGAAGCATCTAAAAATTTAATTATATTTAGATCTGAAAATAACGTTGTTGTACCAGCAAAATAATTATGTAGAAATCTCAAGCACGATAGCAATGTTGCAAAAAGTTTTGATATTCTAGCAATCAGTTTTGAGCGTCTTATAATTATTTCGATGGTCCAATAAAATTATTTTCAGATCTAGTTAAATTTCAACAAATCCATCCTTTCCGTGTTTTAGTTTATAAAAAAAAACTTATAAAAAAAAAAGATAAATATAGAAGTGAATTCTATACTTTTCACGTTCTGTATTTTCTAAATTTAAACTTATTCGATTAATCTCTTTCAGAGAGAAACGCTGCAGGAGAGCGGTATTGGCAAAGAGATCGCAAGTCTAAAGTGCGAAATAATCACACGGCTGAACCCGGCATCGTCTAGTATTCTGGACGAACTGGACCGGAACAGCGTGAGGAAAACGAATAGTTTCGCTGGTAGCGATATCTCAAAGGCCAGTCTGACTAGCAGTGAGAACACGGACGCATCTATCGTCACGACGACGACGGAGGGCAGCCCTTCGTTGCTCAGCACGGAAGGTTTTTGCGAGGGTGAGAGTACGGATGATGTGTCACCTGGCTCAACCTTGAACAAATGCTCAAGCAGATGCACACCGACGACAGTGACTGACAGCGAAAACGAGACGACGATGATCTTAGATGAGGACGAGGAGGACTTAATGGAAAAGGGTGGAACGACGATGGTATCGATGAAAAGAAGGACAAAGGATCAGAAGATGTCGACGAAAAGTTCCAATATGATTGAAATAGTGGGTATCGCGAGAACGGAGAGCAAGGATGACGGGATGGACTGTAACTTTGTGTCAGAGGATGAGGAACAGACTAACACTCTGATAAGCAGTCAAGAGAGAGACACAGAAGAACCGATTTATATTAACGCCTGCAACGAGGTGAATGAGAAAAATCTTCAGCGGACGGAGCAATTGAAGACAAAAGACGATTATAGCAATAATAACAATATGTACGTTACAAGTGATTCTTTTCTCCATCAAAATTTTTATTAGATATTTAATTTTATTTTTCTCTTCCATTACATTCTTTTGTTCCTTAAAGACGGTCCTTTCGATTTCTTTTTTGCAGCGAGGTAAAGATCGAGACGCCTGAATTAACGGTCGAAGATACCAGTGGAAATTGGTATAGTGATCCGGATGAAGATCGATTAAACGATGATGTATTCAGACACAGCACCTACCGGCCAAATAGTAATCATAATTCTGTATTGGAGTGCGTGAATCAGATTCTGCTGCAGGATATGGAAGAGGAGGAGAACTTGGTGCTCTCGGTGCCGCGCAGGTTTAAACATCGTGGCAGAATCGTACGTTTTCAGCCAGCCAGGTTGTCCGATATCGAGTCAGTGGGTTCCGAGATAGAAAGGAAAAATTCCGAGGAATCCGTTACGGATAACAAAGATTCATCAAGGGAGGAAGAGACCGCGGAGAACGATGCGAATGTATCCGAAGACGAGTTTGGCATGAGGATCGTCCAAAAAGATCCGGACGATGATGGTTCCAAGGAGTCCAAGGCGATCCCACTAGTCATCATCGAGCCCAAAGTCGATGTCGAAGAGACGAGAAAGATTCCAACGAAATCCCAACAGAGTAGTCCTCCTTTAAAAATGGAGAGAATCGAGGAGAAGACCTGCCTGCAGATGTCTGCAAGAGGGTTAACTATCGCCAAGAATCTGGATTATGAAGATATAGAGTCGTTACCAGAGATAACGACATCGCCGACGCCGCCCAGAACGCCACCAGCGTTGCCGCCGAAACCACAATTTCGCAACAATACACTAATCCTGAAGAAAATTCCTAGTCCATCATTTCTAATTGATGAAAAAAGGCAGCAGGATCCGGGAGGCGTGGATCCTACAAAAAGAAGCATTCTGGGACTGATATCCTCTTCGTCGTCAAAGGCAGCAAGGAATCTGAATATGGATGAAGCGAAAGGTTCGACTAGGAGCTCGGCGAGAGAAATGAAAGACGGTGGATTCTGGAAGAATAGATTCAACCACGTGCGTTCGTCTTTCCAAGTAAGACAAAAAGAGGATCAAGGAAAGAACGCGGCCAGAGTGACGAACATCGTTCGGCATTTCGAAGAGTTCAAGATCGGTGATCCCGAGGAACAAACAAAGGACAGAAATCGTCCGAAGGACCGTCACACTGAACTTGAACATGTAAGATCTCTTATGAAAATATATTAAATGTCTTGAGAAATATAATTCTATAAAAATAAAAAAAAAACGATTTTTTTCTTCCATTGCAGGAATTCGATATCCGACAGAACTTTGAGGAGTTCAATCTAGACGAGTGCGATCTGTCGGACGATCCCGATCGGCCTGAAGGTGACGGATCCGAGAGACTTGGTCATGTGGGATTTAACAACGCTGGTCAGAACGAGAACAGCATTGCCAAAGATAACAACAATGTTCCTGCTATCGGCAATGATATCGGTAATAGTAATGGCAACAGTGAAATCGGAAGCGGATATGATCATTTTCTGGAGGCGACCGGCCTCAGCAACAAGTCGATCCTCACACCCTCAAGATTGCTAAGCAATCACAAGAGCATGCTGAAGCCGAAGGACGTAAAGTACAAGAGCAGAATCAAGGCTACGGCGGTATTAGAAAGGCACGGAGTACAAACAACTGTAGCCGGCAATACGACGCACGTCAGGCACTGGACTGGACCATTCGTCTGACGATTGGCCAATTTTCTGCCGGCCAAAAATATTTTTCGCTCCGCCGTGTCGGCCGATAACTCGCCGATAAAAGCGAACTACAAAAGATTTTGATCTTTTAATTCGCTGATAATTAATTAAATTAAAACATTTTATAGTCGTTGTATTCGTATACAACGAATGACTCTCACTTTTAAAGTGCAAATGGAATTTTATACAGTATTGATCGAGAAACAGGGAATTAATAGTGAAAAAAAAAATAATCTTGTTTCTTTAATTACGTTATGATAATGTGTGAGTAATTAACATATATATTATATACACATAAATTACGTTATTTTTCATATGCTACATGAGTCGTTAGATTTCGAAGTTGCACTTTCAGTGATTAATTTATTTAATCCTTTCTCGGAAAAATTGTTTATAAAATGTTGATTTAAATATTCCTGCTGTGAAATTATTTATTAGTCTTTATATGATATGTATGTAAAAAAAAATGTAACTCGTCTCGATTTTTGGTATATTCTAATTTATAAAACGTTATCGAAAGAAATCTTTATCTTTCATTACCTTAATTTTGATAAATAATATGCATTGGTAGTTCTCAACCATCAATCTTTTATTAAATTATTGTTTAACATACAAGTTTCTATCTTAAATTACATTCACGTATACAATTATGCAATCGAACAGAAATTTATGCAATGTATAAATTTATAGAACAGAGAACTCGAGTAGAAGATTAGGAGTGAACGTTGTGTTCCGTCAATATTAAAATTAGATTTTTTTAAATATGTTCTATACACAACCGTACATACTTTCAAACAGAATTACAAATGATAAAGTATATATAGAAAAAAAAATTTGTAATAATACTTCATTGCAGGTAAAGGAAGAAAAGCAGCACTTTGAAAGAAAATTATACAATAAACATTCAAATCTCTGAGTAAAAAATATATTTAAAAAAAAAGGAAGGAACAACAAAATTAAATGACTTTTTATGGCATGCAATCTCACCACGCATTTGAATTATCGTTAAATGTGCGGCGAGAATGTAATGCTAGTCTCAACAGTATTATGCGTTTGTTCGCGTGTTTGGAAGCGTAGATATGCGATATTAAGATGCGCAGAAAATCTCGCATTATGATACATTATGTGTACACATATTTTACATATATAATCTCTACTCTCTATCAAAAAATAACGCAAGTCTATAAAAATATGACAACGTTATCACCAGTATCAAAATGTAAATATGGGGCGTGGAAGAAGAAATGCGTACATTGATAAGTTTTTTTATCTTATTCCTTCTTAAACATTACACAATCCCCATTTTAAGCGTCATGCAGGCTTCATTCTCTCGCGGGTTAGTACAAATCACTCGTTCAGGCACTCCATTTACGCTTGTTGGTTAGCATTATATCGGATACGAACGCGTACAAGTACTGCGGAAAAACGCTCGAAAATTCGAATTAGTTTTGGCAAGCTGTCATCTTTCAAGTTTCTCTTTCCGCACGAAAGTCATAGAAGAACTGCAACAAAACATCATATTAATTATTTGTCTCAATTATCAATTATTTTTAAAAATTGAAAAAATACACGTACCTCTCTGTCTAAGTCCTTCTGTGTCCATACTTTGATAACAGGAAGTTTGTTCTATCAAGAAAAAAAAACATATCATTAAGTTGTAAAAATAAATGTCTTAATTGCACTTTAATTTTTGTACAAGTTTCAAATTATTATACTCACACTGGCAGAACTATGATTAGTAATAAGACGAGGATTAAGCACGAACGGAACCCCGTCGAGATCGGATGATCCCGGAAGTGTACCATAAATGGGCGTTGATGTGACGGTGGATGTCGTGGACATAGGCGGTTGTGGGGCGGGCCTCGTTGGCCTGATCCTCGCGTTAGGACTTAAAACCTCATAATCTCGATCGCCAAGTTCGTCATCCTTGTTAGCAGTGCTGCCGACTTGCGGATAAAGTCCATTGGTCGGTGGTTTTGGTGAGAACTTTGGTTTCGGGGGCCTCTCAGGGATTGGCCTGTGAAAGATTCCATTCGATGGATTTGGAGAAGGACTTTGCAGTAAGCTGGAAGTACCATAAAATACGTATATTTATAGCACGAAATCGATATTTGGCTTGTGCTGAAACTTACTCTATATTAACGTACGACTGCGAATCCAAATTCGCATTTGTGATATCTACGGTCTTGTAGCATACATGAACACCATTTATAGTACTGAAAGAAAAAGTATAAGAAACAATATACATTGCGATAAAAATATTAACTTTTTATATTACATATATATTTCCAACACACAAAGTTCCGTGTTTATCGATATATATATAAAATATATATATATATATAAAATAAATTAGGGCAATTTGTCATTGCGTTTACTTTCTATTGAGTTGTTATAAAAATACAGATAAAAAATTCACGAAGCCAACTTAAAGCTGATCTAATTAAAAGTTTGAAGAGATACCCAGCAGCGGAAAATCCAACAGGAGCCAGTTTGGAGTAAACTTTATGATTTGGAGTTGTCCTGCTGCATATTATTATATCTGTGACCGCTTTCATACACAGGTCCTTATTCCTAATTTTGTAGCACACCTGTTTTTTCCGCCACGCCTTCTGTCCTGCAACCACAATTTATTTGTAAAAATTTGCATATTTTTTTATCCGCAAACGGCAAGCATTGCTGTCGAACAGAAAGGCTTACTCGAATCCACGGTGTAGGAGATCATGCTGTATCCTTCTGGCGGAGTGTCTCGCTCGTTAATCACCATGATATCTTCGACCACGCAGTTTGGCTGGCCCTCAGTCTTCGAGAAGCAGATATATCTACCCTTCTTCTTGATGAACAGTCCACTCTCCCTCCATAAATCAGCGTCGGTGTCCTGATCGTAAGTTCTCGATACCTTAACGAGATATATACCAATCTCTGATCACCGCGACGAGTAATAATAAATAAAGTGAATTAATTCGCGTACCACTGTGAAGTTGGGTGGACACTTGTCTAAGTCTTCCACAACATTAATGGCAGTTATTGGCCTGTCATCTGGCAGTACGGCCGATACCTGGACTAACATCTTACAGGTGGTCGTCTTGAACATCGCTGCGATCCCGGATACCTAATTAATTCATTCCCCAATTAGATGAATCTTTCCCAATGTGTCCAAGAATCGAATGAATATTTGTAAGTATTAAATACAAAAAGAAGGATTTTGCTAAAGTATCTAAAAATTTAACTAGACACAAATTTAAAAAGAATTTTATAAAAATAATTAGATAAAGAAGTTCATCAAATTGAATGAGAATGTCTAAATTTTTTGCAATATTATCATCATGCTTGAACCTGCTACATAATTATTTTGATGATCCAAAAAAATTATTTTCAGATTTGTATTTAGCTAAACTTTTAGATACTTCAGCAAAATCATTCTTTCCGTATAAATTTAGATATCTGACATGTCGAACAAATTTTTAGATTTATTACCAAGTTAAATTTTCATCAAATACTTCAATAAAATCGTTCTTTCGTACATGCACTAAATATATTATAATTACTATAAAGTAAGCAAATGTTAAGTATGTAACACTATGAATACGGTTTGCTTACTAAACATTTTGTCTCGTTGCAAATATACCGTGAATAAGTTGCATATAAAAAACAAGAAGATTATATTCGATTATCGTCATTGAAATGATCATTGTCCGGCGATCAAAATGTTTATCAATGTGAGATTAGATACAATTGAAGCTTATCGTTGGTAAAGATCGTAAAGATAACGAGATCGAAAGATACCCACGGCGGCGATTGCATCGTAACTTCAATGGATCATAAGAACACTGATCGTTCCAAAAATATCATCAACATGACCGACATTCTCCGCTTCACGAGTTTTCCGAGGCGCGAAGCTATCGACTATGAAACTCTCGTTTAATCCGACGCGACCCGATCGAATCTCTCGGTGCGATGCACTCAATATTCTTGACTCGAAGCATATATTCTATTCGAGGGGGTAACGAACTTTGAGAACAAATTATCGATTAATATTTTTATTTTAAGAGATTTTTTATTGAAAAAATAAAGAGAAGCTAGATATTAGCCAGCCTATTTAGCCAGATTATACACACACACATTCAGTGATTGTCTAAATCATGTCTAAACTTACACGGAAAGAATGGTTTTGCTGAAGTATCTAAAAGTTTAGCTAAATACAAATCTAAAAAATAATTTTTTGGACCATCAAAATAATTATAGTAAACTCAAACATGATGAATAGTGCTATAAAAGTTTTGACATTCTAGCAATCAGTTTAAGCGTCCCATATAATTTTAATAGTCTATTAAAATCAACGGTTTTGCTCAAGTATCTAAAAATTTAAATAAATAGATCTGAAAATAATTGTGTTGGATTATCAAAATAATTATATGTAGGACGTTCAAACTGATTATTGAAATATAATATAAAAAATTTTGCAATATCGATTACCCATGCTTGAATGTCCTACATAATTCTTTTGACGGTCCAACAAAATTATTTTTAACTCCATATCTATCTAAATTTTTAAATACCGCAATAAAATCATTCCTTTTATACATGAAATGCGCACGAGAGTGATATGTAAAGATACTGCTCTTATTTTAAAGCAGATTCACGATGATTCGTCAACGGAGTCATTTTTCTAACGGTTTCCATGTTATCGCATTAATTACTACGATAAAACTATAGCATTATACATTAGCGAGAAACATTTGGTTGCGTGAAAGAGATTCATTCATCCTGACTCGAAACTCTGTTAATTAGCGGATCGGAGCTCATTCCGGAGCAGCTTATTCCGGAGCAATGAGAGATGCCAGTACGGATTGCCGACTGACAGCGGGCGAGGTTGAGCAACCGAGGAGGAAAGCGAAACAGAGAAAAGAAAGAACGTAAAGTGGGACAGCGGCGTGCGTTCGTGGAGGAATGTAACTATTGCATTAGTAATTGCGAACATCAACGAATGATCTTTAAAACGCATGACTAAGTCTCACGTTCTCCTAACCGTTCTCTCTCGCACTGTCGAAAAACATTTCATCATAGGAAAAATCCAAACTCGGAGGAGGCTGTCATGCGATTTTCCAGCTGTCGCTCAGTGCTCAGCTGGCTCGACTTGTATCCCGCTGGTGTCAACTTACTTTTTTGTAAGCCGTGAACTTTAATAAACACGATGATTTTCAAAAGACGCAGAAATCATCAGGAAACACGCGCGTATAATAAAACTTGCTCCGTCAGAACATGAAGGTCATTGTGCTTTCGTAATGAAAAGAAGGAAAAAGAAGAAGAATAAAAAAGAATGATGACAATCAGAAAAAACTCGCATAGCTCATTTTTCAATCGTCATAATACTCGTAAATTATTCATAGGCACGAGGCCGTTATTCATACTCGATCAAAAAATTCCATCGTCGATGAAACAGCCGCTGCGTTCAGTGCTAAATTCGGTAGATGGATATACATATGTCATACGTGTTTACGCAGTCCCTTCGCGATTCTCGTTGTTAAAGAGACAGAGCTTAAGATCGGAGTGTGTCAGCATCTTAGTACGATAGCGATAGGAGATACTGGCTGATACTATGTTGTATGGCAGCAGATAAATATTGTAATAGATACTGGAGTGCGACGCGATAGAGAGAAGCGCGAAGAGATCTCGTGAGGAACCGGCGTCGACGTTCAAGGACGTGCTCGAGGAAGGGAGGTCGATAGAAAAACGGACGGAAGGATAGACGGACAAACGGACACGACGTGTGCGGAGATGCCTCTCTTCCCCCCTTTCGCGAATTATACTGGACGTGTCATCGGCCGCGAGAAGCGATATCGCCTCCTCTCGACTACTCTCGAGGCGCTCGATAGGGGCTGACCTTTTCGCGACGCCGCGCTGCGACGTTTATCCGTTTTTCCTCTCCGCCTTCTCTTCGTCCTTCTTCTTGTTCGTCTCTGTTCTTCCTCACACGATTGTACACTTTGTGCTGACACAGCGACGACGACGACACAACGCGACAGCGCGGCTTCTGTCACCGGCGCTCATATTTCAGATGATTTCAGAGCAAAAGAGGAGACGAGTGACGTCAATCGACGACAGACTGTACTTACCGTCGTCCGACGACGCGTCTTGCGAAACTGCCCGAAAATACTCCGAACATTGACGAGGCCACCGAACTCCGGAACCGCATCGCGCTCAGTGCGCGTCACTTCGATGCGCATGCGTCTCATGTTCACGACATTGTCATGAAGTAAGAAAGTAATCGATGGGAATGCAAGATGTATTTTCAGGAAAGGTTGTTCGGAGAGAATGGAAAGAACGTGATAGTCAATCTGATTGGTTGTTACTCGTTACTATTCCCTTGAATATTACACACATAACGGCATTCACGAAAATGATAATCAGAATAATTTAAATTGACTCAATCGGATCATACTTTGTCATAATTTGTTGCGAATTTCAAAATCAATATCGATCTTTATTTTTTACATTACAATTAGCGGTGTCCTTTGAAGGACTAAACTCGAAAGTTTATAATAGAACGAGTTAGTCATATATTAATAATATTTTAATTTTAAAAGAAAAACAGAAAGGTATAAAGAAAGGCTGCCTTTACAGGAATTTAATATCCCAGATATTCAAGTGAGATTTAGTCTATGGAACAAATTGATGTACTGCATGTATTGTTTTCAACCTGTCGATAATTTGCTGTCATTGGAATCTAATGTGAACTGAGTTAGCATCAGGAAGGCAAATAGATTTCGAAATGAGTTTACTAAATTGTAAGAATATTGAGAAATAATAAACTCGTCACGCCAACAGCAAACGTCATGTATGCATGATGACAACTTGCCAGCAGTTTGTTGAACTCTAAGGAAGACTTTTTTACGTGACAGAACAACAAACAGTTTGTGGAAACACCTTGGCTTTAGTTTGATGAAATTGAATGCGAAATAAGTGACAGCAAAATGGCAATGTATTGCCCTTATTTAGCTATCTGAAATAATATTAGCCAATTTATTACTGAAAGACAATAATTAATTATTTGTTTGGAGTAGTAAAAGTATTGAAGATGCTTTTAATAAGTAATTAATTATTGTCTTTTAGTATTAGCTAGCTTTCTTTAAGAGGGAACAGAAACAAAATTTTTCAAAGACTCTTTTATCTTCCTCACTATCTTTCTAAGAAAATATTAAATACTTATATTTTCTTGGAAAATTTTCTTGAACAATTTTCTACTCTTATTTTTACCATTTCCTTTTTATGAAAGATCCAATGTCGACGTTTTTTATTATTATACATTATTTATCGTGTCATTAATTTATTTTTAATGTTTAATAATAAATATTATTTATGTACGTAAAACAAAAATTGCGCACCTATGATAAAATATAATATTATGCATATGATAATATATGCATATCGATATTTATATTGATTTATCATTGATTGTCTCAAGCCAATCTAAAATGTAAATAGCCAGCGCAGATCTTTGCGAAGCATAAAAAAGATCAACCAATCAGAGTCTTTTATTTAAAAAAGAAGGACTTTGAAAAACTTCATACTCCATCCTAAGAATCGACTAATGAATACCAACCTATATATATATATATATATACTATTTAAAGCCTGAGCTATCGCTTGCTTTACTGCGCATGTACCAAATCAGTCGTATCAGAATTACTGTTCCGACTCCGGTAGGCGGCAGGCATCGCACAATTGACGATTATACTCAGCTATTAGTGCTCTGCCATCGTGAATTTATTTTTGAGATTTCTAACTGATCCAAGCAGTTATCTCATTCGCGCTCATCACTGCGGAACAGATATTACCTCAGATATGACGGACTCCAATAAGCTTATTCCTTTTTATTATTCTACAAGTGGTAACAAAGAAGAAGATGAGGTTAGTCTTTACTATATTATAATCTATGTACATTTATATAGAGTTTTTCATTGGCAGTACTAGTGCACAGAACAATGCACATTAAAGCTGTTATACACTATTTTTAATTTAAATGTAAAAGTGAGTGAAATATCTCAATTGATGAAATACCCAATCAAATAGCATAATAAAATAGTATAATAAAATGTATCGAATATTTCGTGATTTAATTTGTCTCTATATTTTTATTAAACGTACATCTTTACGCCAATTTTTGTTACAACAGCTTTAAAATGCATTGAATGCACTCTTATAATTTTGCCATGAATGAAAGACGCTATTAATTTCTTAATTATGTCATGCGCGCGTTTAAGCGCCCGCGATTTATCAATATAAACGTCTTTTTGTCCTGAAAAAGAAATATATTATTAATATATAAATATGTTATTTTATATTTTATTGGTATAATATAATTAATTACACAAAATTTTCTGTAAATTTATACAACTCCTTTTTTCCTCGTTTTATCTCCTTGCTCGATTGTTCCCGCCTTGACGATTTGTACCTGAATTTCAATTGTGTTTGCTTTGAAATAATCTGCTAGTTGATCGATAAGAATATTTCACATAACAACTGACGATAGCATTGGTATTTATAATCTAATGTCAAGATCATTTTAAATAATTGCAAGACTTGTAATTATTTCATTGTTTAGATCGATTTACATTATTTATCTATACGCGGCCTATAATGCGACTCAAAACAGATCTAGGCCAACCATTTACACCGTAAGCGGCCTGAACACGAATTCTTTGAACTTTTCGAACGCGATCCTGTAAAATTTTTTAAACTTTTTTATTTACGAGATATAATATAGGTCCACAACCAATATATAACATGTGTCAATTGTATACAGCCAGGTCAGATCATCTCTCAAATTACAACGAGCGACCTATATAATTTAGATCGAATTTAGAATTTATAGGCTTCGGCCTTTTTGTTGTTGGGTTGAATATTAATGTAGGCATATCCCAAGGACAAAATGTGAAGTTAAATTCTCCCCGAATTTGTTTTTAATTATTATATAATTTTTAATTATTAATTTTATAT